GGCCTGTAGTTTCGATCCTATGTAGGCCGCGCAGGGGGCAGTGGCCTTCAATCTTCGAGAACAGCCCGGTCCTAGAGCACTTCAGCAGCCTTGACACAGACACCATCTCCAGAGGGGTCCGTACGTCTGCTCTCTCCTCCCCATCTACTCCTCTGGTCGGAGAGGAGGAGGAGGGGAGGAAGTTTTCGAGGGAAGCACTGCTGGATGGGCCCAGCGTTTTGCCCTGGCTGGGCGGGAGGTGATGGGGACGCTCTTCGGCGCCACCGACGAGGCCAGGGGGCTCTCTGTTCTTTGCCGCGCGCGCGATGCGGTCGCTTCCCTCATCCAGGCTTCACCCGTCGTTGATCTTTTCAAGCTGCCCCCCCACCCCCATCCAGCATCGAGCAAGTCGAGGCTGCAAGAAGTAATGTAAGCTTGTGGCTAACAAGACACGCCATGCGCGTGATTTAAACTATATAGTTACCCAGCTCATGTGAACCACGGCGGGGCGCCGGCCAAACGGAAACGTCTCACGGCGGCGCCCGTGACTAGAGTGGGCACCCGGCCGCCGGCTGGAGGGCGACAGACGAGATGCGAACGGCGCCGTTTCAGCGGGGGCGCAAAGAGTGACGCTGCGACGGCGACCAGGGGGGCCAACGAAATTACGAGCCTCAAATGGCGCATGCCCGCAAGCCCCGTGCAGTGGGCAGCGCGCATTGCAGGGCTCAAGAACAACGGCACTTGCCCCTGCGTCAAGGCACGCATTCGCATGCTCATCTCTCACAAATGCAGTGCGCTGCACTGTGCAGGTTTGCTCTTGCTTGGATATGGGGTTTGCTGCCGCTCGGAAGCGACGCGTCTTCTATACACTGGTCGTCCTCATACATGGTGCGATCGCACGCCATCCCCCGGGCCGCTTGATGAAAAGATAGGTTTGCGTTCTTCAGGGTCTATTCACCAGCCACTGGAGGGGGAGGCGGGTCGTTTGTTAATCGCAAGGTGACATCATTTGCCGCTCCATTGGTTTCCTATATTATGTCGAAATATTTCGTTCATTGTTAGTGATTTGATAGGAAGGACAGGGGGGATGACATCAAGCGGGCGGGTGGAGGTGTAGAGATGTTGGAAGGGGAGATCGGGACACACGGGGACGGGGGGGGAGGGTTGCAGGCCCGTGGGGGGAGGGGGGGGGAAGGAGAGGAGGTTCGATCCACGAAGAACCGCCCGGGCCGGGGGAGTGAGAGAGTTCCGTGCGCCGTGGCTCCGGGGCCGACCCCGCGCCACGGGCCAGCGACAAGACACTTCGAGGCGGAGGAGTGAGGATCACGAGGAGAAAAAACACACAGACACAATTCATCGTCGATTCCCCAGAAAATATTGGAAAATATGGGCAGTGGGGGAAGACAGAGACCCAGAACATATGGAGTAATATGGGGAATCCTTTTGTTTGTGTGTATTTATTTGTGTGTCCAAGGGCCCCTTCAGAGGAAGAGAGGAGGAGGGAGGGGGGGTGAAGCTGGCCAGATCGAGCGAGCCAGCTGACCCCGCTCACTCAACCCACCCCATCACATAGGAACGAATGCTGGCGCCACCTGATATCGTGGCTGGCGCGCGCTGCCGTCTGGGAGGCAGGAGGCGGTCGCTTGCGGTCCCGCGTGCGCCGGCTTGACGAGGGGCGTTGCGGCAAGAACACCATCTTGCCTTCTCTCGCGCGGTGCCATTTCCAATGGGAGTGGCGAAGACAAAGCATGTGCCGCGTCATAGTGCCACCTGCACGCACAATCTGCACGGTGCTCGGGCGAGGGCAGCAATTCGCTTTGTTCGACGACTTGGCGAGGTAGACCATGTTCGCCGATCCCCCCAGCGGGGGCGCCATTGTCAGGCAAATTCAAAGTGTGTAGGTGTGGAGACGGGGAGGACTGGGAAAGAGGAGGAGGAGGAGCAGGAGGAGGACCAGGATGAGGGAGGGTGGACTGGAAGGGAAATGTGGCCGAGAGGACGAATCGCGGCCGCGGCCTCCGCGAGAGGCCTGCCTGCTAGCAGCGGTCGTGGCGGCGCCGCGGCGGATCTTCGTCTGCCCGCCCGGCAAGAAGAAGGAGAGCTTGGCCTGCGTCCTGCAGCCTAGCGGCTTCTCGTTCCCCTCTCTTCGTATCCCTACTCGTCATTGTCGTCCAGGGGTGCAGGGGGGACTCGGGATGACATCTGGCCTTTTTGGGCACTTGGGAGGGTCACTCGTGGCCATGGCTGAATCGGTTTCGAAAGTCTGTCCAGAATGCACCTGAAGAGAAATCCAGGGGCAGATTCCTGATCCTAGATCACCCGCTTCATGCAAACATCACGACGATAGATGTGTAGCTCTTGTCCTCTCCGAGGGCATTTGCCAGGCTCTGGGCAACACTGGCCCATAATCTCTAAGGGTTTTTGGACCCCCCCACCAATAGGGGGTAATTAATCATGTGCTCGGCGGCCTTATTCAGGGACTGAGGTCCCAACAATAGGGGGTAGTTGCTTTGTTGTTCCGCAGCACCCGCCGCGCGACAACGCCGACGAGAACGACGACGACAGCAACAAGGAGGGGGAGAGGAGGGAGGAGGAGAAGAAGGAGGAGCAGAAGGAGGAAAAAGAGGACGAGGAGGAAGGGAGAGTGTTGGGACCAGCCCTACTCACCTCCGAGTGGACGGGGAAAGGGCGCGACCACAGCAAACGACCCTCTGAGGTTACACACTCCTAAGCATCCTTCTCGCCCTCGGTTTCCTGTGCGTCCTGTTGCCCCTGCTGCTGCTCGCCTCCTCTCCGGCCCCCGCTCCCGTCCTCGCTTGCCCCCCCCCCTCGCCCTTCCCCTCGCTCTCCCTCCCACCCTCCCCTCCCCACCCATGCCCGTCCCCCCTTTTCCCCTGCTTCTCACCCTCTCTCCTTCTCCCGATCCACAAACCCCTCCCCCCCCTCCCCCCCCTCCCTCTCCAACCTCGTCCTAGTTCCTCGCCTTCCGCCCTCTGAAACCTGGTGCTGACCCTTCCTTTTCCTCCTCTTCTCCGCCCTCCACCCCGCGAGTGGATGGAGGACGGCGGGGGGGACAGGAGTCAGAGGAGCAAACGGTTAAGCTAGTGATACGTTCCAGGATTTTCTTAATTTCCAAGATTCCTCAATGTTCTACACGTGCTGCAGATATGATGGCCGCTGGATAGTCACTGCAATTCTTGGAACCTGCCCTGAGTCAATCGTCATTCCTTGGCTCCACATTCTCCTGCCCGTTTCAGCTTCGTCCCTGGCCCGTTCTCAATTGTCGGCCCGCCCCACGGTTCGAGCAAGGGTTGCGTAGGACGCTCACCTTGCTATGTGAAAGATGGCCCAGCGCTGCGCGCCCCCGACTTTCGACAGAAAGGAGAACGCGTTTCTTGGACGCTTGCTTGGAACGAATTCTGGACACGTCGGACCAGGACCCCCCCCCCACCCACCCTAAGATCAGAGTGAGGGGGCCGAATGGTCATTCACTGTCCCTGGGCGCGTGGCTGAAGTGAGGTTCTGCGGTGCGGATTGTTTTCTGTTGTCGTCCTGCGACCCACCCGCGCCCCGCCCGCGACCCGCCCGCGACCCACCCGCGATCCACCCGCGACTCACTCCGCGACCCACCCGCGACCCGCCGCGACCCACCCCGCGCCCCGCGACCCACCCGCGACTCACTCCGCGACCCACCCGCGACCCGCCGCGACCCACCCTGCGACCCGCCCGCGACCCGCCCGCGACCCACCCCGCGACCCACCCGCATTGCTTTCACAAAGAAACAGCGCCTGCGGCCGGCTCGTTGCATGATTCCTAACAGTTCAGTGCCCGCGACGGGCGTCTTCACTGCCTCGCAGATTGCCGTCGTCCTCGCCGCTCCCTCCCTCCTATCCGCCACTGCTGGGTTCTACGTATTGCGGAGGCGTTACGGCCGATGCCGCCGACCCTGCATGGCGGCGACAACCACGACCACAACGACGAAGTTCTCGGGGGCCTCCTGGGGGTAGTTTGGGGGCCGCTTGGAAGCCTCGTGGGGGCCTTTTGGGGCTGCCTGGGGGTCTCTTGCGGACTTCTTGGTGGGCTTCTTGGGGGGCTTCTGAGGTCCCTCTTATCCGCCGCTGCGGGGTGCTACGTATTTGTCACGCCCGGAGAACCGGGGGGGGGGGGGGAGCGGACGCCGGCCTCTCGAACCAGGCCCCCCCCCTTCAAGGCGGGGGGGTCGAACAGGGGGAGGGGGCCCCTCCTTGTCCAAAGGGGGCCCGGGGTTCGAACCGGGCCCCCTCCCCCCCCCGTCTGGTAATAGAATCCCATAATAGCTGTATCAACCTTCGATAGTATCCTAGTCGGGCTCGGTCCACCTCTGGCAGAATCTTGTTGTAGTGGCCTCTGGCCATTGCCGCCGATCCGGGGCGTTCCCGACGAGTTCAGAGACTTCAGCGACCGACGAACGTCGACGGAATATCGACGACGACCAGTGACGACGACCGACGACACCGACGACGAAGACGACTCACAACGACGATGGACGATTCACGGCGAGCGACGACCGACGACCGACGACCAGCTACAACGACCGATGACGGCGATGACGATCCGTGGAACAACGGACGACGCAGGACGGGGGCCGGGGCCAGGGCCGGGGCTTTGTCCAGGGCCGGGGGATGGTGCATAGGCCGTTTGCACAGAGGAGTGACCCTTCGCCGGAGTGACCTTTGGTGCGAGCTAACTGGGGCCTCGCGATCGCCGAACGCGAGGCGGCAGTGGCGTCTTCCGCGCCTGTGTTTGGCCCCCCCCCCGCGGCCCCCAAGAAGCCGCGCACCAGAGGTCACTCTTACCCAGGGTCACTCTTGCGTGTAGCCGACGGGGGATGGTGCATGGGCGCCGTTCGCGCACCCGCGTGCGCGTCCGCCGCGTCGATCGTACCTCCGCCCGCTCGCGCGCGGGCGGTGCGCGGGCGGCGCCCCGCCCCCGGCGGGCGGCCCGAGGTGCGCGGCTTCTGCCCCACGTCCGACACGCTGGCGGCGTACGCGGCCTGCAAGGCGGGGCGCCACCTGGCGAGGGGGGGGGCGGGTCGTGAGCGGGCCGATCCTGGGCGCTCCCCGTGTTTGGGGGGGGGGGACCGCCGGCGCGCAGCGAGGATCGGGTGCGCGCCCCGTGGGGGAGGCGAGGGGGGGCGGGCCCTCTCCGAGGGCTCGGAAGCCCCTGGGCCTCTCGAGAAGTTCTTTGGGCCGTCCCCGAAGACTCAGGCGATTGCAGGCATGGATTGTGGAGGTGTGGCTTAGCGGCGGGTCCCGATGTCATGGGAAATCGCGGATTTCCACCGCCGAGCGAGGCGGCACCGGCCGCATTTTGTGGAGAGCACCTCCCCCGATCCATGGATTTGGCGACCGCGCGCCAAATCCATGGATCGCTAATCCATGTTTGCACGCCCCCGACCCTGGGCCGCCTGAGAAGTTTTTTGAGCCGTCCCCGAAGACACAGACGCCTTTCCCGAGGGCCAGAGGGGGCCTCCAAGAAGCCTCGCCGTCTTCTGAGGAGGCCTTCTCCTTCTCAGTTCCCCCCCTCGCTCGCCGACGAGCTCAGAGGCAACGATGGGGGGCATAGGAATAGGGGAGGATGCATCGAACCCCAATCGCCAATTGATCGCCGATAAGGGTCCGATAGCCCCAAGCTGCCCAGGAACGTGCGGATTCACTATCGTTGGCCTATCGCCGATCTCGCGATGTATCGCCGATTCTAGGTCGATGCATCCCCCTTATGCCAGTCCCCCCCTATCGTTGCCTCTCACGAGAGGTGCAAAGAGGCTTGAGGTTCGTGGCGTTAGGAGGTCCGACGCGCCAGCGGCGTGCGTCGCCTGCAGAGCGGGGTGCCCCGGGAGAAGGGCGAGGGTGGCGATCACGTTGCATCTTCTGATGGGCCTGTTTTCCATCACCACCACCAGAAGTTCGAGGGGGAGGGGGTCCTCCTCCTCCTCCTCCTCCTCCTCCTCCTCCTCCTCCTCTTCGTCCTCCTCCTCCTCCTCCTCCTCCTCCTCCTCCTGGTCCTACTCCTCCTCACCCTCCAACTTTTGGTGGTGGTGGTGGTGGTGGAAAACAGGCCCATCAACGTTGTATCTTCGGGGGCTCGTCTATCTCGCAGATGGGTGTCTTCTCTTGTGCCCGACGCGCTTTCGATGCGGGCCCAACTCGGGTTCGGCATGGATGCGACGTGGGGTCGGCGCGGATTCGGCGAGTCCGACATGGATCTGACAAGGATTCAGTCGATGCGGATCGGGGCGCGACGGGACAGGTAAGGGCCCCCGAAGATGCAGCAGAGGGGCTAGTCGTGGGCGGGCGACAGATCGAGCGACCCCCCAAACAAATCGTGGTCTGCGCCGACATTGGCGCGCAAGCTGCCCGCGTAAGGGCGCGCGTGAGCGCCCTCGACTCCAATGTGGCGTGCTGCGCCGGCGGCCCGCGTAAGCCGCCGCGTGAGGTCGCCATGCCATCTCGCGCAAGACCCGTTTTTGATCTTCGCTCGTATGGGAGCAGGTAAGGTCCCCCGAGGATGCAGCAGAAGGGCGAGTCGTGGGCGGGAGACAGGAGGGCTGGCTGGGATGCCGTGGTCGGCGTTTTGCCTGCACGAACGAAATGGGTACGGAAAGAAGGGGTGCGATGCCCAGCAGCAGTGCCTGTGCACTTTTTGGACAGGACTCGCCGTCCGCGCCGCCGCGGCCTGTGTCCACTGGGGGACAGAAGGCCGCCCGCCCAACAGGGGCCGCTGCTGGTTCGGGACAACACCTGCTGTTGGGCACTGTGCCTGTTTTTTCCGTACCCACTTCGGGCGTCCAAATTTTGGGGGATCGCGCCGACCTGGGCCCCCGAGCTTCGTGGTTCCTTCCCTTTCGCCTGTGCGGAGGCCGCCCAGGGCGTCGACGGCCTGGGCCCCTGGTTTCCGCGACTCCACGGAGGCGGGGCGGGCTGTTCGCGGGTTCCCTCTTCCTCCTCCTCCTCCTCCTCCTCCTCCTCTTTCTCTTCCTCCTCCTCCTCCTCCTCCTCCTCCTCCTCACTCCTCCTCCTCCTCCTCCTCCTCCTCTTTCTCTTCCTCCTCCTCCTCCTCCTCCTCTTCCTCTTCCTCCTCCTCCTCCTCTTCCTCCCGCTCAGAGCGCATCCGTGCGACCGCGTATTGACGGAACCTTGCCCCAGGGCTCCAGGCCTCCTAGATGGGGTCACATCGCCGATCCCATCGAGGAGGCCTTTGAGGGTCCAGACAGAGACGGCGGGGGGTATGGACGTGTTCCCCCCGCGTGAGCTAGGCTGGGGCCATGCCTTCAGCGTTGTTGCGATTTGTTTTTTGCTGTGGGCACCTGCGCGGCGGACTCGCGGACGGGACGACGCACAGGGTCCCCAAAATGATTCAGAACAGGTACAACGCAAAGTACATGAAGGCGGAGCCGAGGGACGTAATTTCCATGATGTAGGCCGGCCTGTCACATCTATCAAGTGGAATGTGATGCCGTCGTAGTTGAGCAGGTCGTAAAGAGAGGCGACGAATGCCGCCACGACTTGGTGCTCATTCTGAACAAGATTCGATGTCTGCGTCGCCGCGGTCGTTCTTCTCTTGAGGCCACCAGCCGCCTGCCCAACAGCAGCCGCTGTCTTTGCTGGACAACACACTCGCTATTTGGCATCGTGCTCGCTTTTGGCGTAGAGATGCCCGGCGTCTAAAAACCGTTTCACACAAGTGGGTCAGGAGCAAAGACCGGGGGGGTCGATTGGAAGTAAAAGTGACCTTTCGCCAGAGTGACCTTTGGTACGGGCACACTGGGGCCCCCCGATCGCCGAACGCGATGCGATAGTAGCGTCTTGCGCGCCTGTGGTTGTTCACCCCGCGGCCCCCCAAAAGCCGCGCACCAAAGGTCACTCTTGCCCAGAGGTCACTGCTGCGTGTAGGCGAGGGGGGGAGGGGACGGACTTGCTCTTTGACTTTCGGTGCCGGGTGGATCTGAGCCGCGGCCGCCCCGTCGGCCAGCAGTTGGAACCCCTGGCTCCACAGGGGCGCTGCCGATGCCGACGCGGCCCCACCGCATCAGACCCCAGAGGGAGGAAGGGAGGGGGGGGACTGCTCGACAGCAAAGCATGGGAGCCTGGCATAACTGCCCTCTTAATTCCGTCTTTAGCGCGGGCAAGCGTCGATTAGCATCTGGGAGCCGATGAGATAGCGCCAAGTTTGTGTCGATTAGCGTCGGTCAGCGTCGATTAGCGTGGCCAGCGTCGATTTGCGTCGATTCGCGCGAGCCGACAACATGATATGGCAGGCTCCCATGAGTTGGCACCGAAGGGACTCGGGGGAATCGGGCCAGACGAAAGGGGGGGATTGGGAAAGCAGGGGTACGAAATCTGCTGCGTACAGCTGGTTTCGGCCCCACCGAGGGTCCCATTCCTCGATACATAGCCGCCTCCGGCGCCAGGAGGCCTAATGGGACTGTGTTCCACCACCACCACCAGAAGTTGGGGGGGAAGGAGGAGGACGAGGAGGAGGAGGATCGGACAGACTGATCACTCCGTGAAGGGACACGGCTAGGCCGAGCCCCCAAGAGAGCCACGAACTATACCATATGGCTATCTCCTGGGCCCTGGCGGTCCGTGCCCGCCGATAGGGACCCCCGTACGGGGGTGGCGGGAGCCCTGGAGATGGAGGATGAGGAGGAGGAGGAGGAGGAGGAGGAGGAGGAGAAGAGATTGGAGGAGAAGGAGGAGGAGGAGGAGGAGGAGGAGGAGGAGGAGGAGGAGGACCCCCTCCCCCTCCAACTCATGGTGGTGGTGATGGAAAACTGGCCCATGAGGCTCGCTGTCAGGGGCCCACTTCTGGTCTGTCGGCGACATACCGCCGATTTCGGGTCGACGGTTTTCCTACTGAGCCAGTCTTCGGACGGCGCTAGGGCGAGGAAGAATTCGTTCCAGAGCGTTGCATAGCGCGCTCAGAGCGTTCCGGAACGCTCGGAGAAGGCCACGGCGCCGAGACATCCTCCAGAGCCGCCGGATCTCAGAGACTCGATGTACACTCACCCGTGTTTATCCTCGTCCTGGCTTCGTCTTAAGTCCCCCCGCCCCTCAAGCATATCACGGACATCCTAGGAACCATACAGAACCATGAACATGAATTTTCGGAGGTCCGCGCAGATTTTCATTTGATCGGGGCTGGATCCCCCTCCCTGGCGCGCGAAACGCGCAAGGGGCAGCGCGCCCGAGGCGCTGCAAGAGGGCTCCAGCACCAGACCACGAAATTTACTAAGAAATTTGCGCAGATGTCCGACAGTTGTTTGTGAGTACTTCTGTTGTTCCTCGAAGTCCCCCCGCCCCTCAAACACCTCACAAACATGCAGGGGTCGTGGATGCAGACTGTTCTATCGTTTTTGTTGTTGCGTGCCACCTGAGACGCCCACGTCGCACCTGAAATCGTCCTCAAAGAGTTCTTGCCAAAGCGCATCCCAGGGCAGGTTCATCGGGTCAGACTTTCGAGCCCCGACCCCACTCCTCCAGCGTCTGAAGAACAGTCGAGACCGATATCTTCATGATGTTCTGTCTCTGGGGGCCGTTTCTGGGGCCAGGACCGTCAGAAAGCAATACATGGGATGACATTGCGACCTTGGGGAAGGGGTCGGGCGCAACCAGAACGACATCAATTAGTGACCTCCGTTTAAGGCTGGGCCTTGTATCTAGAGAGGGTAAGAACGGCAGGAAGGGCGGTGGGGAGGAGGGAGAGTTTGAGTAGGAAAGCGATGAAGATGAGGAAAGAGCAGTAGGAGTACAAAAAAGAGGGTGTGGGGGAGGAGGAAGCTGGGGGAGGAGGAACGTCTGGATGGAGGAGGGGATGGAGGCAGGAGGGAGAGAGGGGAAGAGGAGGAGGAGAAGGAGGAGGAGGCGGAGGAGGAGGAGAAGGAGGAGGAGGAGAAGGAGGAGGAGGAGGAGGAGGAGAGCCTCGAGAAGCAAGGAGGGGAGGGACGGTGTTGCAGGAGGAGGAGCAGCAGCTGCACGGGCAGCAGCAGGGCAGCAGCAGGACAGGAGGAGCAGCGGGGCGGAGGGGGGACGGGGGCTGGCCGACGGGGGTGCAGGCGGGATGAAGCCGTCCTCGCCTGGAAGGCGCGGACGGCTCCACCCCGCCTGCAGCATCGAGGGCATCTTGCGAGCAGCCCCGCAGACGCTGCTAGACAGAGGAGCTTGGCATCGCTCGGGCGAGCGCATGCTTTCGGCGAGGGTCATCGAGGAGCATCTGAGACCATCCTGAGATAAGAATAGACGCGCGAAACCGAACCATGCACGGGGGATGGACGTCTGAGCGATGGCAAGGAGGGGGGGGCAGTTCCCCCCCTCTGTCTAGCAGCCTCTTCGAGGCCGATCTCCTGCCAATGCTGACCTCGGGCGAAACCCCCATTAGGTCCTGCGACAACCCACCCGTCCTCGTCCACGCCGGAGGCCGCCGCAAGGTCCCGAGGAGCGGGGGAGCACGGCGTCGGCGACGGCGGCGGCGGTGCACTGCCAGCGTCCCGGTGCTCCTGTCCCCCCTCTCGTTACGCAGACAGGATTTCAATACTCCACCACCGTGCCCGGCCAGGGCCAGAGCTATCCTGGGCCTCCTGGGCGTGTTACATGGCAACCTCCTGGCCGTCGCTGGGAGGGCCCATCTCTTTGTCAACCCGCGCAAGTTTCGGGCGATCGCAAACGTGGATTAAGGGGGCGTGGATTAGCGACGGGTCCCGTTTCCATGGGAAATCGCGGATTTCCGCCGCCGAAAAAGGTGGCACCAGCCGCATTTTGGTGAGGGCACCTTTCCCGATCCATGGGTTAGGCTACCGCGCGCCAAATCCATGGATCGCTAATCCATGTTTGCGCGCCCCCGAAAGTTGGACGATGCCAACCATGCGCCAGACCAGTTCGACGCACGCTCCCGCACGTACTGGCACGCGCGGCAGCGCGCCTCTGGCAAGTCTGGCACGCGGCTGGTGTCGTCCAGGCCAGGGGAAGCCCCGTGCCCGTGTGTCTGGGAGCCTGGCGGGCCCGCACACCACCCTCGAGCCCAGGGTGGTCCTCGCCAGGCGCGGTGGCGGTGCGTGGGGACGCCTTCGAGGCCCCAAGAGGGCCCCAAGAAGCTTTCTTCTCATCGTCCTAATGTTCTCCCTCTCCTCCTCTGTCTCCTCCTCTGTCTCCTCCTCGTCCTCCCTCGTCCTCCTCCTCCTCTTCCTCCTCCTCCTCCTCCTACCCCTCCTCCTCCCCCTCATCCTGCTCATCCTCATCGGCGCGCGCGCGCGCCCACCAGGACTTCGAGGGCTGGAAGGCGGCCCGCTCCGAGGCCCTCCGCCGCCCACCCGGCCGTGCCGGCCGCGGCGCCACACCGTCGGCGTCAGCGCCGCCGTCGTACTCGCCCGATTCGTCGTCATCACTGCCGTTGCCGCCGCCGCCGTCTCCGTCGCAGTCGCCTCCGCCGCCTCCGCCGCAGTCGTCGTCGTCGTCGTCGTCGTCGTCGTCGTCGTCGTCGTCGTCGTCGTCGTCGTCGTCGTCGTCGTCGTCGTCGTCGTCGTCGTCGTCGGCGTCGGCGTCGGCGTCGGCGTCGGCGTCGGCGTCGGCGTCGGCGTCGGCGTCGGCGTCGGCGTCGGCGTCGGCGTCGGCGTCGGCGTCGTCGGCGTCGGCGTCGGCGTCGGCGTCGGCGTCGGCGTCGGCGTCGTCGTCGTCGTCGTCGTCGTCGTTTATTCAATCGCTTTGCTCATTCCGCCGGCCCTGGAGCGCTATTTGGGGCCTCTTGGGGCAGTCTTGGGGGCTTCTTGGGGGCTTCTTGGGAGCGTCTTGGGGCCCCCTTGGCGGCGTATTGGGCTCCCCTGGGGCCTCTTGGGGAGCTCTTGGGGGCCCCTTGGGGCGGGAGGGGGGGTAGTCGATTGCAGCCTCCCCCTCGGAGGCCACGATCCTTGTGATGGGTGGCGAAAAATAGCCTCCCCTGGGGATCGCCCGGGACCCGGCCGGGGATCAGCCGGGGTACTTTTCGTCCCGGGCCCCCCAGGGGCCGCCCCGCGCGCGCGAACTAGAAGTATTGTTAAGTAGTTACCGGGGATCTTAGCACGCCTCTGGCCCGTTGGGCCGGCGAATGTGGGACGCGTTCTGGGAGATTGGGGCTCTCCGTGGGCCTCCAGAGGCCTTGGTGCATGGGACCTCCTACATGCAAACTGCCTCCAGGCGGTCTCCGGGGACCTCCGCGGGGACTCCCCCGCCCCGGGGACCTCCCCGGGGACCTCCGCGGGGACTCCCCCGCCCACGTCGACGCCCCCCTCCCCCGCACGCGAGCGAAAACACATTCACATTCACATTCACATCTGCACTCACACTCACATTCACACCCACATTCACACTCGCATTCACATTCACATCCACATTCACATTCGCATTCACATTCAAACACAGTTCTTCCGTCGCAGCGCGGCAGAGGCAATCCGCGCACGCGCTCTAGTGGGCCAGGCTCGACAGGCACACACACACACACATACCCTGTTCGGTCGTCGCGGCCAGACTAACAGCCATGGCGTCCAGCGCGCGCGCGCGGAGACCGCGCGCCCAGTGAGGTGCGGCAAAGCAGAGGCGGCCGGCCCCTCGCGGGGCAGGGGCCGTGCGCGACGCAGGGGGCGCGCCAGGCAGCGAGGCGGCGGGCGGGGGCGCCGGCCAGCGGGGGAGGCAGCGAGGGGGGAGCGGGCGGGTGCCGCAGGGCGAGGCGGCGAGGCGGGGCGGGGCAGCGGGGCGCCGAGCGAGGGCGGGGCAGACAGCGGGGCGCCGCGCCGAAGTCCTGCGGGCAGAGCGCGGCCCGCAGCGGCAGGACCGGCAGCCTGCAGGGCGGAGAGGGGGAGCAGCGGGGCGAGGGCGAGACGGGAGGCGGAGGCGGGGGCGGGCGGGCCGAGAGGCCAGAGGAGCGGCAGCGAGGCTCAAGCAGTGGCGAAGCGTCCTGGTGTGCCTGAAGGCCCACCAATCATGTCCTGAAAACCTTTTGTGGTTCTACGGAATGTTCTTCGAACACTTCTGGCTGGGACTGTCTTGTTTTAGCAGATCGGTCTTTGTAAAAAAACACAGTGCTTTCGCTCTTAGAGCATGCTTGAGTTCTAAGAGCATGTCGTGGTAGGCCTATAGGAATGCCGGGGCGGTCGGTCCCTGCTCTATATAGGCAGTCACCTTGCGGGGCCTCAGGGATCCCGCCATGCCGCGAGAGGGCGGGAACCCCCTAGGGGGGGCACCGGGCCGCTAGGCGCTGGGCGCCAGAGCGGGGTCCGGCGTGGGGGGGGGGGCGGGGAAAAAGGCAAGGCGTGCGATCGCCGTTGGGGGTCCACCCACGAGATCGAGCCAAGCCATGGACGGGCGGCCGCCGCAGCGTCCCAGGCGGACCCGGGCCCCGAGGGACGGAGGGTGACAGGCGCACGTTCCCAACGCAGCCGGGCAGATCCGCGTCCAGGGCAGAGGGCGGGGCGCAGCGCGAAATCGTGAAGATGCTCGAGGACGCGCCCAAAGTAGCGGCGGCACAGAGACGAGTCAGACGAGTTGCCGCAGCTAAGCGATGGCGGGCGAGCAAGCTGACGCCGACCTGCGACGTGGAGGACCCGAGACCAGAAGCGGAGCCATGAGCGGGCAGGTCCACGCCCGAGGCAGCTGCGGACCAGAGGGGGCCCGCGGAAGAGGGGGAGCCAACGCCCGAAGCGGCGGCCGCCGAAGCATCGCGTGCAGGCCGGGGTGGGACGGCGAGCCGCGGACAGAGACGGTGTGGAACGAGCCGCCTAGCATACCTCCAGGAGACGCGAGTGAGTCTGGACTGGTGACTGCGCCAGGGGCGGTCAAATCCGCGCCCGAGGCAGCAGGGCACGGGAGGGGGCCCGCGGGGAGGAGGGCGACGAGCTCCGTGAAAGGGAGGCGTGGCGGGATAGGCCACGGCGCAGCGAAGGGCGGGCCCGGGTGGGGGCCAGCCAACCCGACGGAGGCGCGGGGAGGGGCGGCGCCCCCGCCCAGCAGCCCGCGCCCAGAGCGGGCAGATCCGCGCTCGAGGCAGCAGGGATGCAGGGCAGGGGGGAGGGACACGCCGAGGGAATCGCTCCCTGGGGCGGCCAGGCGGCCCGCTATCGCGCCAGTCGTTGTACGCCGCACGGGAAGCGTCTCGATGTGCATGGGCGAAACACGCACACACATACACATACGCACACGCACACGCACAAGCGCACAAGCGCACGCACAAGCACACGCACGTACACACGCACACACGCGCACCCGCACACGCACACGCACACGCACACACGCTCACACACACACACAGCACTCACACATACACACGCACACAGCACTCACACATACACACACGCACACACACTCACACACTCACACACACATACACGCACTTTTCACAACTTGGACCCTGGACCGCTGGACAACCTTCCGATGCTGACTTCTCACACCGACCCGTTCTCTTATGGTCACAGGGCCTTGCAAGGGCTCCCTGAGGCCGAGCACCGCCACAATTTTTCCATCGTGATTGCGAAGGCCTTACGGCCGGTGCCGCCGACCCTGAATGGCGACGATGACGACGACGACGAGCGCTCTTGGGGGCCTCTTGGGGGTAGTTTGTGGGCCTCTTGGGAAGGTCTTAGGGGCCGCTTGGAAGCCTCGTGGGGGCCTCTTGGGGCTTCCTGGGGGTCTCTTGGAGGGGGCCTGGGACGTCTTGGAGGCTTCTTGGACGGTCTTGGGGCTGTCTTGGGCGTTTTCGGCAGATCTTTGGGCGACTCGGGGCCCTCTTGGGCCGTCTCGGGGGCCATCTTGGGCATTCGGACCTCATTTGGAGTGTTTTCGAGGTTTCTAGGCCGCCCGAGGAAAAACGAATCTGCCCCCCCACCCCCCAACCCCCCCGGCCCCCCCCGGGACCCCCCCCCCCGGACCCCCCCCCCCCTGGGGAAGGGATCAAAGGGAAGGGGCTTCCCTTCGACTCGATTACGACACTGCTAGATTTTTCTCTCGCTCACGAGCTTGAGAAGGAAGCTGCAGGGAAAGTGGACGACGGATGCGACGACCGACGGAGACGACGACTCGAACAGCCAAGCCCCTCGCATACGCCGACAGGGTCGGCGGATTCGTTCACGACGCGAGGAGGTCTATGACAGCTTCGCGTCGTGTTCACGCGGCGGCGGGGGTCGCCGCGGACGTTCCAGGTTGAACGCCGAGCGACCTGGCGATCGAAAAGACGGCAATCGTTCAAGGTTGAGCAATCCATGCGGTGTCAGACACCAACGCCAAAGTCGTCACGTTACGGCGATGCGATGCAAGGGAGCGGGTGACGAGGGATCGGAGCGTTCAGCATTCGGCATGGACGCCATATTACCATCAGTCGTCGTTGTGAGCCCGTCATCGTGTTGCTACCTCGCTCTTTTCCAAAGCTTGGTGTTTCCGCAACAGTGAGTGCCACGCTGACGAGCTCCTGACGGCGGCGTGCCATTGATGTTGTTTCTGCTCCCTGACGCACGGATGGGGCACCTCTCTCTTCGAAGGGGTCAGCCCGCGGGGCGCCCCGCTTCTCTCTTGTGCCCGCGTCAAGGGGCGTGTGGCCCTCAGTTGTCGTCGTAGTTTTCGTCGTTTCCGTCGTCGATATCGTCGTTCTCGTCGTCGTTTCCGTGCTCGTTTCCGTGTTCGTCTTCGTGGTCGTTCCCGTGGTCGTTTCCGTCGTCGTTTCCGTCGTCGTCTCCGTCGTCGTCTCCGTCGTCGTCGTCGTCGTCGCATTGGCATTAGCATTGGCACTGGTATTCGTCATCTTCGTCGTCGTCGCCTCCGTCGTCGCCGCCGTCGCCGTCGCTGTCTCCACCCTCGACGCCGTTGCCTCTCGGCGTGCGCGTGCCTCCGCCAGCCCCCGCGAGGGGTTTTGCGATCGCTGGGCTGGGGACCTGTTCCTGGTCCCGAAGCGCCTGAAGCAGTGCCCACCCCGCCAGCCGCCCACGCGCAGAGCCGCCCTCGTCGTCGTCGTCGTCGTCGCATAGGTATTTGTATCTGTCGTCTTCGTCGTCGTCGTCGCTGCTGCCGTCGTCGTCGTCGTCGGCGTGGTCGTCTTCGCCGTCGTGCCGCCGCGCGCCCGACCGCCCGCCTCGCGCGCGCGGCACGAGGGCACCACCTTTGACAGCACCAGAGCGCACGACGCCGCAGTCTCCGCGCCGCGCCGGCGCGGAAGCCACGCCTCGAGGCTCAGCCTCGGCCTCCTGTCGGCGGGCGCCGAGGGGGGACCTGCCTCCTCCTCGTCGTCGGAGGAGGAGGACGGAGGAGGGGGGGCAGGCCTCCTCCTCCTCCTCGGAGGAGGAGGGAGGGAGGGAGGGAGGGGGGGGCAGGCCTGCTCAGAAGGCGGCGGGGCCTCTGGGCAGCCCTCTGGCCTCCCGAGAAGCCCTCGGTGGCCTCGGAGAGGGCTCGGAGTGCTTCTCAGAAGGCCGGGTGCCCTCCGAGCTGATGGGCTCGTGTTCCACCACCACCACCCCCACCAGAAGTTGGAGGGGGCGGGGGTCCTCCTCCTCCTCCTCCTCCTCCTCTTTCCCCCCTCGAACTTACGGTGGTGGTGAAAGACAGGCCCAGCATGAGCCTTCCGAGAAGGCCCGCCCCCTGTGCCCCCCCCCTCGGGCGCGCCGCCGATTTATCGGATGCCTCAGGGGGGGCTGCCTCGTGGCCACGGCAGGGCCTTGGCATCGCTCGGACGTGGACATATTTTTTCTCGACGAGAACCATCGAGGACCATCCTGGGCCATCGAGCAAAAAAACACGCACGAAACCGAAACATGCACGGGAAATGGGTGTCCGAGCGACGGCAAGGGGCGCGGCTCGATGAGCGGGTCGGGAGGGCGTCGCGGAGGGGTCCGGGGACCCACCGGGCGAGAATGCCGAGCATTTTTTTGGGATGGAGGGCAAACGGTGAACTCTGAAATGCCGTTTCGATGGGTTCTCGAGGCTTGGACCTGCAAGAGGTGAATCAGAAGTCGGATTGATTTTCGAGGTGCAAAAGCCCATCTTGATTTCACCCTGCGCCCTCCATTCTGAGAACATGCTCAGGAAATGGCCCGCCTGACTGGCGGCGCGTCGACCCAGCGGCGATGCCAGCGCGGGCGTGCAGAACGGTGTGAATTCCACCAGTTGCCTGAACGATCCTGGCTGCCGAAGCGCGGCGGTCGCTCAGTGTTGAGCGATCCACGCGATGTCGGAAACCAACGTCCGCGCCATCACTGCGATCCGAGAAAGAGAAGGAACCAGAGGTCCATTTGGAGGCCCTTTTCAGGCCGCAGGACCGTCAACAATACGTCAGAACGAGAAGGTGGCCCTAGGGCAGACTGATCGAGTTGTCGGAGGTTTGGGAACGATGGTAAACAATAACGAGCATTTACAAATACAGGGGCTCCGCGTTGCGAGTTGTTAAATGTTTCTCGTCGTCGTTCGAGATCTGCCACGCGACCCGCTCTGAGACCCAACCTGCAAGCGGACATATCGTCGAATGTGGTTGTCTTTTGGCCTGGATGCGGCAAGACGCCGTTTCACGCGAATGCCGCCGTTGACTTCATCAGGGCCTTCGTGCGCTCCAGGTAATCCTTCCTGCGGACGTCCTTATGATGGAATGTGCTGATGAACTCGGTCGTCAACGGTTCGTGCGTTGTGTGCCGCGACGCTAGCACAAATTTCTGTTGCGGAATGGCGCAGTATTCGCGTTGCTAGAGTCGCACACGTGCGGTTGCACACGTGCTCCAACTGCGCAACACGACGCAAGGTGCGCGGTCGAGGTTCCATATTCTAGACGCTTTGCGTAACCCCACCATAATTATCTGGCTCTGTGCCCCAGTCAGCCCGATTGACCCGCCCTCTGGAGCCTTCCTTGGGGCCGCAGATAAAAAAAAAAAAACCCACCACGTCGCCAATTCGCCGCCGCGCCGTGGTGTCTCCACCGCCAACTCGACTACGCCAGCCTTTGGCGTTTAATTCGGGTCATTTTGTCCCTCGCATGTGCATCTGCCACTGCGGCCAATTAGCTTCGTTCGCGCCCCGTTCGTTGTTGACCCGCTCCCCGACATTTCGCCCTGGAGCCGCCGACCAAAAAGTAACCCCACCATCTCCGTCCTGACCAGTTCCAGCACGAGTGCTTGCACTCCCCTGGCATCTGGTCCCCAGTCACCGCCACAGCTGGTCGTGTCTGTCGGTGCTGCTGGCCCTATGGGATTTCGGACCGCCGGTTCACTCAGCAGTGGTTCAGCCTTCTTGTGCGACCATGCGCGCTCCCCCGTCGGTCTGCTGCCTGCACGCTGGACTGTTACGCACGCCATCGATTCGCCACGTCTGTGGCGTGCCGACCTCTGGCGCCTGGTGGCGACCAGGTCCAATTCACGTACCTGGTGGTCACGCCCCTGGGTTACTCGCACGCTTGCAGCTTCGTGGCAGCCCCAGCAGCTTGCAGTCCCCGCCCACGGAGCTGCCTCGCTCCCCCCGGCGGTTGCAGAATCTGCCCTCGGCGCAGCAGCTTCCCCTGGCGGTAGGTTCTGTAGGTGTCTGCGCGTGCGCCGGCAATTAGCTCCGTTCGTAGCCCGAGCTGACTCGACTCCCCGCTGGCGCCTTCGCCTTCGGTTGCGACAAAAAAGTAACCCCACCATCCCATCCAGAAACGATGCCCAGGCGAGTTGCCTTGATCAGGGATGTGGAGGAGAGCCCAGTGAACTGAATGACTGGGAAAGCCGTCGTATCCCAAGATGGGGAGGATGAAGGAGGAATCGGCGGAGGAGGAGGAAGAGGAGGACGAAGAGGAGGAGGAGGAGGAGGAGGAATAATAATAATAATAACACTAATAATAATCATCATCATCATCATAATAATAATAACAATAATAAAAATACTAATAATACTAATAATAATAGTAGTAATCATAATAATAATAATGATACTAATAATAATGATGATGATGATGATGATGATGATGATGATGATGATGATGATGATGATGATGATGATGATGATGATGATGATAATAATAATGATGATAATACTGTTAACAAAAAGAATAATGATCAGAGGAGGAGGAGGAGGAGGGAGGAGGAGGAGGGAGGAGGGAGGAGGAGGGAGGAGGAGGGAGGAGGGGAGGAGGAGGGAGGAGGCAGGGAAATAAGTGACATGGGAGGAGGGAGGAGGAGGAGGAGGAGCAGGTTGAGGAGGAGGAGGAGTAGGAGGAGGAAGAGGAGGAGGAGGAGGAGGAGAACGAGAAGGAGCAGGAGCAGGCGATGGGAATGGGGAAACGTTGGAAGGTAAGGGCGAACATCATGGCCATAGACGTCTTGGATGCCTATCTGAGTCTCTTCGGATGTCGCTTGAGAGCTTCTTGGGGTCCTCTTGGAGCGTCTTGGGGGCGTCTTGGCGTTCCTGGGGGCCTCTTGGAGCGTCTTGTGTGCCTTGGGGGAGCCCCTTGGGGCCTCTTGGGGCTCTCTTTGGGCTCTCTTGGCGAACTCTTGGGGACCTCTAGGAGCCTCCTGGGTGCCCCTTTGGGGCCGTCGTGGGAGCATGGGGTGCCATACTGGGGCTATCATGGAAGACATCGGTCAACGACGGGAAACTCTATTTAGCCTTGCCCCTCTGCAGCCTGTACCATCGCCTCTTGGAACGCCCTTGGCGCGCTCTTGGGCGCTTTTGTGGCCGTCTTGGGGCCACCTATGGCTTCCCGTTGGTCTATATGGTGCCATCTTGGAGCGATCTTGAGGCCTGGGAAGGCCATCAGAAGCGAACCGGCGAGACGGCAACCAGTTTTCATCTTGAGCCGTCTTGGATGTCATTTTCGGCTCTCTGAGGCCCTCTTGGAGCCATCTTGGGCAATCTTGGACGCTCCAAGTGGTCGCCCCCCCCGTCCAGGTCCATGGGTTGGGGGTACGCCCGCAAGCTGTCTCGCTCACACCCACGCGCCCTTCCAGCACATCCGTAGTACCCGAGCCTCAGCATGTTCAACGGTCGTTTATGGTTGGGCAGCTACGGGAAACAATCACAAACCCCACGTGCGCGACGCATGGGGCAAGGTGCGCCACGCGCGCCAGACGCGCCAGGCCCGCCAAGCACGCCTGGGAGCCAAGCGTGCCAGGCACGCCTGGTGCGCCAGATGCGCCACGTGCTCCACGAGCGCCATGTGTGCCGCATGGCCCAGCTGCGTCAGGTGCGCCACGTTCGAGGCACGCGCAGAGTTTACCAGGTGCGCCCGCGCACATGGGGAAACATGTCGGCCACCGCCATTCTTATTCATAACCAATGCACAATCGCGGCGGGGAGGCCATCATAATGTCTTGTGAGCCTTCACACAGCAGGCAATACGCCAGCGCCCATGCAACTGATCGCGTGGTGCCCACGCACGATCCAATCTTTTGCCGTGACGTGCAGTTTGTTCCCCAATGAGTGTTTGCACTGAAGGCGTCCTAGCGGAAATTGAAAGATTTGGCGAAAGTGTCCCGCCGATTCTGGTGGCGGGCTGGGTTCCCGGGTTCCCGGTTCCCAGTTCCAGGGTTCCTGGTTATTGATTCCGGGCCGATTTCGGTAGGTTTTGGGTTCCCGGGTTCCTGGTCGATCTCCTTATCGATCAAACCATCCATTGATTTGGAATTTTCTTTTGGTGTAATATTGCTTGTGGCAGAGGACGACTCCGCCGCCTCTGCCCCAAAACAAAGCGTGCAACGTGTTTGCGGGGCCCCCGGGCAAGACCCAATGTGCCGCACCGTGCATTCTGCGTTCTTTTTGGCAGGAGTGGCGGGCAGGGGGTGGCATTGCGCGACGCAGGTAATATGCCGGTCCCCGCGCCGTCCCTGTCATAAGCCGATGCAGGGTGATCGTAGGGCTTCGGAGCATGACCCAGATTTTGATGCAAAAGTGTATTTTGTATTGGATTTCGACACGGATGGTCATGGGTACGGGTTGGCTGCCTGTCGGGTGTGGCATGGGCAATCTATGAATAGGGAGCAGTGATCAAC